GGAGAGAAAACAGGAATACATTTAGTTAAGACACGGATTGGGTGAGGATAGGTCACGAGGCCATCGCCGTCTCAAGTGGAAGATTACAAGGGTAGCACTTTGAGGAAGGAGCATTAGGCTGGAGAGAGAGATCATAACCTAAGAGGCAATTGTGGAAAAGTGTTCGGATCAAGTCCGTCACGAAAAGGATGACCATTGTGGATCGTTTGGTCAGCGACTTAGAAGGAAGCGTTGAGGATGCGGCAAACTATGGATTGAAATAATTTGTTGGGTGTTGTAAGATATGGCAAATCTCCACAGCTAGTAGTAAGTACAAATCGGTCTAATGTGCGATTTGTAAGAGGCTAGTTTTTAACTATGTTTAGTGTACATTTTGGCCAAGTAGACGGCATAGTATCCAAGTATACTATCCAAGTAGAGCTCAACGTAGCGGACTTGGCTGGATGGTGGGATTGTCTATTGTTGATTTTTGCTCATTCTGTTTGATCCGCCACCGAATGCAGCAGTCGAGGGTCTAACGAGGGTATTGGAAGTATGTAAAGTATGTTAGCATTGTAGGTTGTGATTTATATATTAGACTTTGTGGGTATGCAAAGGATTTGTTCTAGGATACTTCCTTGCGGAACGCCATATTTGATGGCATGATGTGTGAAAAAACGAAAGATAACCAAAATTTTCCCGAAGATTCCGAATAATGAGATGTTCCCAAAACTTTAATCAATAGCATCGACAGGTTTAGGTAGAAACGGTAATAGAGAGAGAAAGAAGGAGGGAGAGAGAGATTCTCTATTTCAACAAAAACTTTTAAAAAATTTTAAACCGAGGAGTACTTATTCCGTTTTTCCCACCTTTCATTACAGAACTATCGACAGCTTCTTTTCCTATCGATAAATTTTTGACTATTTTTAAATTTATTTTCTTATTTTATTTATTAATTCATTTTTTTGGTAATTTAGAAATAAAATGTTTTTTGTTTTCACATAAAATTGAGACATTGAGATATTTTTCAAAACATTTTGAGACATTTTTAAGATGTGAAACTTATTTTTCACACAAAACTGAGAATGTATTTTGAAAGGCATGACCAAGTTTAATTTTCAATTTATTTTTCAAAAGATTAAGCACTATCAAAAATGTGGAAAAAAGTAACAGGTAATAAGTAATAGAATTAATAAAAATAATAATATTAATATTCCTATTTGACAATAAAAGTTGGTTGGCGGGTTCTGCAATACCTAGGGAAAAAAATCAATTTGTATTGGGCAAAATAAAGTCAGACACCATGAAATATGTGCATTTTATTTATTTATTTATAATTTGCCTTTATTAAAAAAGTGGGTGGAACAGATAGTGTCAATCACCCTGGATCTATCTAATCTATCTATCTATCTATTTACCTTCCTAATGACGGAAAAATCTTGTAATTTACTATTTAGTCATTTTTACCGGCAGACATGTCAAAAAGACCAATTTTGTAAGTCACGTTCGATAAAAAATTGATGTTTTCAGAAGATTAAACACTATCAAAAATCTGGAAAAAGTAATAGGTAATTTTTTATTAGCAATACTAATAATAAAAAATAATAATAATAATTTCCTATTTAAAAAAACAGTTGGTTGGTGTAATCTGCCATACTTAGAGGAAAAAATCAATTGGGCAAAAGAAAGTCAGAATCCATGACATATGTATATTTAATTTATTTTTTATATTTTAAATTTGCATTCATTAAAAAAAGCGAGTGAAGGACATCCCGTCAATCACTCTGAATATCTATTTATTTTTCTATCTGATTTACCTACCTTTTCGTTTACTTTCCTAAAGACGGAAAAATTTTGTAATTTACTATTTCATTTTAACCTGCAGGCATGTCAAAAACACCAATTTTGTAAGGCATATCCGATTAAAAAAATTAATGTTTTCAGGAGATTAAGCACAATCAAAAATCTGGAAAAAGTAATAGGTAATTTTTTATTAGTAATACTACTAATAAAAAATGATAATAATAATTTCCCTATATAAAAAAACAGTTGGTTGGTGTAATCTGCCATACTTAGAGGAAAAAACAATTGGGCAAAAGAAAGTCAAAAGCCATGAAATATGTGGATTTAATTAAATTTTTTTGTATTTTAAATTTGCATTCATTAAAAAAGTGAGTGGAGGACATAGGGTCCAATTTGAAAAAAGTTGATTGGTGCACCCTGCAATACTTAGAGAAAAAATCAATCTGTATTAGGCAAAATAAAGTTAAAACCCATGAAATATGTGCATTTTAGTTATTTATTTATTTTAAATTTACCTTCATTAAAATACCAGGTGGAACACATACCATCAATCACCATGATCTGTCCCTTCAATCTAAAAATTTGATTAAAAACTTGATAAAAAGAAAATGGCAGTGTTGGAGGGCTGGGTCAGCAGAGAGGCTCTCACTTATCAAAAGCACTGTCGATAAGTGGCCCTCGGAGGATCTGACTCGTACAAGATGGATCATTCTCACTCAATTAAGAATCCACCATACAAAGTTGACACATGGACATTTACTTTCGAGCCAAAACTTGCGTATATGTTCAGCATGTAAAGAAAGGTTGCTCGATGTGTCCCACCTATTTTATTTAATAAATAATCAAAATTCTTAACTTTCTTGTGAAATGGCAAAACTTGCCTTTTCAAAAACCATTATGCACTTAATATTGTAGCAAAAATACAAAAGCGAATAATTTTTTTGGGCGATAATATAAAATACACAATTACAGCTGACTTGTTAAAATCGTTATTGAGATGGTCTTATTTTTAGGTTTCTTATAAACAGAAAACTAATAATATTTTTTATAGAAAATTTTTGCGGCGCTTTGTAGCACAGCTTTAATTATTGCTGAATAATTAAAATAAATTACATACCATTCACAATGAAATAGTAGATTACAACATTTTTCCGTCTTTAGGAAGGTAAAAAATTAGACAGAAAGATATCCATTCTCTGTAATTTTTTACCTTCCTAAAGACGAAAAAATTTTGTAATCTACTATTTCATTTTAATCTGCAGACATGACAAAAGGGCAAATTTAAAAAAATGGACAACACGGAGTTATCGATTTTCTATCAAAACTTTAGACATACGGGGTGGAACAGGACCATAGCCATTCGATATCCAGCGTACAATCTTTCCAATCAAAAGTCCTCTGACAAATTGGCAAAGATTCTTAATACGTCGCTAACTTCACTGTCTACAGCGACCACAACATCGCTTTTATCAAAGAACTGATAAGTTCCAGCCTCCTAAAATTCCATATCAACATCTCTTTCCATCTTGACTTTATGCTGCCCTATATTATCCCCTCCACGACCACTGAAGATCTCCTCGCCCCATAACCATTTAAGACTTTAAAAACAATAAATATTTATAAGTGAAATTTTATTTCAAAATTGAAATCGTGTCTCATGACATGAATCCTATCGGAAAAGTATTCCATTTGAGTCAGATACTTACGAGTTACGACTGACTATACCTAAACGGTATAGACTCTCTCTCCCTCTCTCACTCTCTCACTTTCTCTTTCTCTCTCTCTCCCCTCTCTCTTTCCCCCTCTCTCTCTCACTCCATCTCTCTCATTCTCTCCACCTCTCTCTCTTTCTCTCTTTCTTCCCCTCTCTCTCACCCTCTCTTTGTCTCCCTCTCTCTCTCACTCCATCTCTCTCATTCTCTCCACCTCTCTCTCACCCTCTCTCTCCCTTTCTCTCTCTCTCCCTCCCTCTCTCTCTTTCTCTCTTTCTTCCCCTCTCTCTCTCGCCCTCTCTCTCTCTCCCTCTCTCACTCTCTCACTTTCTCTTTCTCTCTCTCTCCCCTCTCTCTGTCTCCCTCTCTCTCTCACTCCATCTCTCTCATTCTCTCCACCTCTCTCTCTTTCTCTCTCTCTTTCTCTCTTTCTTCCCCTCTCTCTCGCCCTCTCTTTGTCTCCCTCTCTCTGTCTCCCTCTCTCTGTCTCCCTCTCTCACTCTCTCACCCTCTCTCTCTCTCTCTCTCTTTCTCTCTCTCTCCCCCTCTGTCTCATCTTCTCTCTGTCTCCCTCTCTCTCTCTCACTCCATCTCTCTCATTCTCTCCACCTCTCTCTCATCCTCTCTCTCCCTTTCTCTCTCTCTCTCTCTCTCTCCCTCTCTCTCTTTCTCTCTTTCTTCCCCTCTCTCTCTCGCCCTCTCTCTCTCTCCCTCTCTCTCTTTCTCTCTTTCTTCCCCTCTCTCTCTCGCCCTCTCTCTGTCTCCCTCTCTCTCACTCTCTCACTCTCTCCACCTCTCTCCACCTCTCTCTCACCCTCTCTCTCCCTCTCTCTCTTTCTCTCTCTCTCCCCCTCTGTCTCATCTTCTCTCTGACTCCCTCTCTCTCTCTGTCACTCCATCTCTCTCACTCTCTCCACCCCTCTCTCACCCTCTCTCCCTCTCTCTCTCTTTCTCTCTCTCTCTCTCTCTCTCTCTCTCTCTCATTCCCGCAATATCATATTGAATGTGGTCAATTGTTGGAAAGTAATGGACAAAAATCTATTTAATATTTTTCCAAGATTCAGGAAGGTCAAATTAAAATCGTAACTAACCGGAGATGATGATAAACGGTAAATTACATGTCTAGCGCGCACATAAGACAAAATATTTTTTTTAATTTGAGTATGATTGTGTTTTATTTATCAATAAATAAAGTCTAAATAACTAAAAATAATAAATTAACAGATCTCAATAAAAAGAAAACCCCTATATTTTTTCAGTAATTTTTTGAAGAAGCAACCGAAGTCCTGGTGCGTGAGATGGCAGGTTTCGGTTTTTCAAGTTTTCTTTATATTTTATATTCCAAATTGTATTAACATCTATACTTTAAGAAGATAAATTTACAAGACGGCGTGAAGGGTGTCGACAGCGCGTGGGGAAGGGTTGCATAAGAATTGGAGGGGTTAGTCGTGCTCGAGGTATATAAGACTAAGTGAGGTGATCTACAGGACTTTTACAATCCAACGGAGTCACTGGCCACGGACTGAAAGAGGCAAGGTGAGTCTGAGCGGTTTTTCAATGCATTTCTATTTCTCCGAGAAGCCGAGGATCGACAAATTCATCGGGTGTGAGCCCGAAGTGAAAGGGCAGTGCGAATATGTTGTGTTCGGCACATCTTCGGGGCCGATTTGTCCATTTTATTTGGGACCTGAAAGTACGCTAAATTTTCCGGTTTCCAACCCGACCCCTCACCGAGAGGAGAGACTTCGAGAGACAAAAGTGACGGAAACGTTTGAGGATCCCGATCCAGGAAACTAGTTTGAGCCAATGAGAACGAGTTAATTGCGTTGCTATGTTAAATTTTGGATTGCAAAATTGGTAAGTTGTCGAAGAATGGCAAATGCTTAATTTTCACAATATTCCATTACCAATTTTGCGATTTCTTATAAAAAATTAACATTCTTAAAAATGACAGTTAACATTTTTTTTATCTAACTCGTCCTCATATGTTCTCTGTATGCTTTACGTCAGACTGCTAAAACAGACTTAAAATATAATCTTAAAAATTCCCTAAAATTTAATAAAAAAATAAAGACAGTAAATAAATTACAATGTTTGAATATATTTTTAATTCAATTTTTCGGGAAAATAGTTGATTTACCGTAAGAAGATCGTGGGTACCAATTCCGCCTGTGACATAAAATTTTCATTTCGAAAAAAACGTGTATCATCAATTGAATATACTACAATTATAAATTTAATTTAAATACCTAAAATAACAATAAAAATAAAAATGATAATAAAAACGTATGGTTTACTTATAAGTTTACTTCTTCACGCCGACTACTAAAACGCACACAGAATTAACCCAAATTTCAATTGGGAAAGATTTTTTCTAAAATTTCTTAGAATTAAACTATTTATGGGAGAGTCAAGACTTCAAATTTTTGAATCTCGATAGTTCGAAAAATACTACCATAAGAACCTAGTAGAAAGACTTTCTTTGAAATAAGACTAGCCATTCATAATTAAATATTTTTATTAAAACTATTAAATTTTTTATCTCATTTAATTTGGTTCACATTAAAATGTAACGACAAAAATACATTTCATTATTTCATTTCAATTTCATAAATTTAATTTGAAAGAAACAAGAAAATACGAAGGTATTTTTTTGTCTTTGAATATACATAAAATTTCATTTCAAAATTAAATTTTTTGTCTTTGAATATACATAAAATTTCATTTCAAAATTAAAACTGTGTTTAGCAGACGAATCTTATGGAAGAAATCTTTCTTCTCTTTTTCTTTCACTACAGTCAAATACTTATACTGCAATATTATTATACTTACATTGCATATTGACGTGGTTTCCTCGTACAAGGCTCTCTCTCTGTCTGTCTGTCTGTCTCTCTCTGTCTGTCTGTCTGTCTCTCTCTCTCTCTCTCTCTCTCTCTCTCTCTCTCTCTCTCTCACACACACACACACACACACACACACACACACACATACACACTTTCTTCACTCCAACTCCGCACCAACGCCTAGATCTATTCTTACTGCCTCTCCACACTTTTACAACCCGAGAACCATCCACGTCACCTTAAACCATTATGGCAACTTGATCTCCTCACCTGTACAGTATTACAGAAAATAAGGGAATATAACCTTTGCTTACAATTTACAATACAGACAGTCTTTTTCCACAAAAAAAGGTAAAATTTTATGAATATCGTGAAGAGTTGGTATTCCTCAAGCAGCCTTTTGGCTTAGTGTACTGTTCCCAGTTCCGTAGTTCAGTTCAGTTGACTTCATCCTTCTTTTAAGACGTAGGTCATTGATTGTGAATGTTTTAATTCTTTTCCCGGGTCTTCTTAGTAACCTAGGTTATGCCTCCATTGCGCGGTTGCGTCCTCTTCTAAGGGAACATGGATGGCAGTCTCTTCACAGAACATAGTCGGTTAGATGCCAGTAATCTGTATATATATATATATATATATATATCACTCCTCTGGGGTTTTACCCTGTCTAACTGTAGAATGTATCTAACTGTGTTTGCCAGTTCTTCAATCTTATGTTAACTGTTTCTGGCACCTGTGGAATTCGTCCATTTTTATTCTATTTTTAAGTCTATGTTTGATTTGGTTACCAAAATTATAAGTTCTGGGCCTATAAATTGTCTTTCAGATCCTACTGGCTAGTTTGCTTGTTGATTACCCAAAATTCCTTGTGACCTGCCAACCGAGATATTGTCATGTTGTTATGTTTTCCCAGGTTTTGGGGCTTTTGGATGTTTTAATGTTTGACTTTGTAATGCTTTTAGGGCCGCCTGGCTGTCTGTTCTTATAAGGATTATCCTTTTTTTCTCCTCCTTCCAGTAACGCTGTAGGGCGGGCGTTTATTTGCTGCCCGTTCGCTAAATAAGACTACGGGTGTAACTTATTTACCGCAACAATTATCTGATAGTTCACTGTTGTTGGTTAAATCCATTATATTTCGTGGTCCGATGGACAAAATAACTTCTTTCAATTAATTAGTCTTTATATAAGGCAGTGGATCGAAGTCACTATACACGAAGGTCGTGGGTTCGAATCCCGCTCGTGACGCTTACTTTTTTATTTCAACCAATACCTTACACACAGATTAATTAATTGAAAGTAATTAATTAATTTACATTATATTGTATTTATAACAGTGACAGTCTTTTTTTAAAACTTTTTTACAATGAAAACTTTGGCTAAATTCACGTTGTTTTTTTTAATAAGTTAGTTATATACAATATAGTTTTAAATGTGCATATAAATTAATAAATAATTTAAATAGCAGGCAAGTGAATAATTAGTCTTAAACGTAGTTAATTATAACTGGAAGTCCGATATAACTGTAGAATTCCAACAAAACAGAGGATTTTATTTATACATATAAAAATACATAGACTGAAAAACTACTGATTATAAGTTTTATTTTTGAAATATATTGACCTAAAAATGTACAAATAAAAATAGGTGTCCTCTTTCTTTAAAACAATACTGTGTAAAATCATAAACAATAATGTATAAATAAATAGTTGTACGAAATTTCTCGAGGTGTCTAATTAAAAAGATACTTGGGCCGTTTCGTTTATTTATATATTTATATCAAAATGTAATCGGGGTTCATAAAAAATGTTTTCTAGTTCATCTATTTTCAGCCGTAATCACTTTTGACGACGTGACGTATTTCAGGCTGCCCCGAAGCCCTTTACATTGATGAATTTTTCCTCCTTCAGAGTCAATTGAATTAATTTTCGAACATTTAAAACCGTTCATCTACTGTAAAGGAACGATTCGCTTTAGTAAACATAAAGACGAATATATCAATTCAAATCCATTTTGGAGAAAATGCGCCATGAGCAATTTGTTAAAAAAAAGAAAGTCGTATGCATTCTGGTTTAAAAGATTGTTCAATCAGGAAATCAAGAAATACGCGGTTGCACCCTGCAAAGCCGCGGAAATGCAAAGTATCGATGAATCGTTTTTTATGTAAATACGACAAACCACAGGGAATGCCACGGCTGAACGATGTAATTTCAAAGATGTAACCAGCTTTTGGTCGGTACTTGAGGTATTGAGATACAAGTTTCTGGTTTAAGATGTTAAAAAGCCTTAAGTTTTTATCGTTACCTTTTTTTAAATAGCAATCGTAATCAAGCGATAAAATGAGCTGAGTTAAAGCTGGATATTTTTCTGCGAGAGAATGAACCGGCATTGGGTCACTTAAATGACCAAAGGGGAGAACAATAATACCATCAAAATTTAACTCGTAAATGCAAAATCGGTATAATTTTTCGAACTAAAATATTTCCACTTCACCGATCGAACTGTTGGAAGAGCGATGTTCAGATTATCTGTACTGAAATGTACAGTTTTTGTTTGTTGTGCTAGTCTGCGAGTCGATGAACCGGCATTGGGTCCGTCTTCCCTCGCGGGTTTATTGAACTACTCAAACGCGTTTCAGTACTCGCTAAAGAAAAGGAAACGAACTTCCGCACTGAAGAAAAAAAAGAGTAGTTAACAAACCCGCGGGTAAAGACGGACCAGTGCCGGGTCGGCATGAGCACCGACTCGCAGACAAACACCAAACAAAAACAATACAATAAAGTACAGTTAAACCGAACATCACTAATCGAATATTTCGATCGGTGAAGTGGAAATCTTTTAGTTCGAAAAAATATACCGTTTTGCATTTGCCAGTTAAATTTTGATACTTTTTAGTAATGTAAAGAGATCAAGGATGGAGCCATGCAGATTAATGAACCAACTTGTTTTTCCGCTGTCCAGCTTTCGGCTGTATTCGACGCCTTCCTCAGGACTGTATTTAATTACAATAAATGTTTCACTACAGATTACATATATAAAAATGATAATGATAATTCAACAACTTACTTGAAAGAAAAGTTCAAGAACAGCTGTTTCCCGGCATTGTCACAAACTCAAACATAAATTTGATGATTATTCGTAGATCTTGAGATACGGTCTGGTGTGACGTAGGTTTTAGAAAAACTATTTCTTTATCGTGCCAACGTTTCGATCTTTATTCAGAAATCGTGAGATGCGGTCTGGTGTGATATAGGTTCCAGAAAAACATTTTCTTTATCGTGCCAACGTTTCGATCTTTATTCAGATCATCTTCAGGGCCTGGGATTTACAAACATTGTTTACATTTAACAAAAATTGTATATTTGTTATATACATTGTATAATATATTTTTCTTGTATAAATTCACTTTTCCACATCCTAAATGTATTTGTTAAATGTAAATAACGTTTGTAAATCCCAGGCCCTGAAGATGATCTCAATAAAGATCGAAACGTTGGCACGATAAAGAAAATGTTTTTCTGAAACCTACATCACGCCACACCGCATCTCACGATTTCTGATTATTTATCGATTAACGGTCACTAATCACCACACGTTTCGATCTTTATTGAGATCATCTTCAGGACACAAAGTGTTGGTTTTCCGTGTAACATGTGTCATTCTTGTGTGCGGTGGATTTTTTTTCTTTTTTGTTTTGCA